AGTTCCAAACTGGACCCCTAAAGAAAGTTCTCACCCAGAACAAAGTGTTGCAATCACATTAAATAACCTCCACATCACCTCTTCTCCTTTTCTTGACCATCCCAAACGTGGCATGGTCAGTAGAGCTGTGGCCAAATCACATGGATGCCCAAATTGTGGGGTTTGGACTTCTGATAGAGCAGGAATTCCCCCTTACATTTAGTAAATCACTGTAGCACAAGCACAAGGGTAACCTCTGCTGCCCACTTATGCAAAAAATGCCCTTTAAACAAAAAGGCCTCATGATTTCATCTATGGCATATGACATTCACACTCACAAAGCTTAGGAACCAAGAAATGAACTGTCATTACTGACCCACACAGTGAAACACAGCTGAACCTGGGATTTTGGTTTACTTTCCATCCTTCCAGTGGCCCAGCCAGGGATACATTTACTGACCACAGCTCTCCTCAGCAACAGCTGCCTCAACCAGACAGTGTATTTATCTGAAGTCATTAATAAAAACACCATGTTAAGTGCAGGTCTGACCTGCACTCCCAGGTATCTATTGCTTTATGGGCCTAATTAAAATAGTATTTCATTTAATGCCATAATTAACCTTGATGACATAATAATGTCATCAAGCACCGCTAGAATACAAAACCAGAGCCTGGTAGCCAATTATCCTTCCACAGGTAACAAAACAGAAAGCAAAAGAAAGTCTTCAGAGTTCTATAGAGAAATGAGGAGCTATTTTCTCTGTATTTTTGTCACAATTGCAACAGCTCCTCCTTTTTCTACCATTTTTCTTTGCAATCACCTCACAGTCCCTGGTGCAATTTGTGATGAGTATTGTAAATCCTGGACTTTGCATGGCTGGTTCTTACTGAGCTGCATTTCCTCCTCACCAGGACTGGCAGCTACTTCTGGAGAACTTTTTTTAAAAATCCTTCTCAACTTTCAGCTGATATTGATTTAACTTCAAGATGTGCTCCAGTTTTTACTGACTGGAGCAAAACTAAAGCTAAGAATGGCAGGAGATTATCATGATCTAGATTGAATCTGGATGATGTGGCTTGAATACAGAGAAAGATCAGATTATCTCAGTGAGGGAGAAGAATGTCCCCTGTTCCATGATACAAGATAAATTACTAAATACATGCTTTAAACACATTTTTCACACCTTCTGTTAATGCTGCTGTGGGAGTTCTGGACCTGGAAATCTTACTTTTCATGTCACTGTGCTACATTTCCTCAGCCTTTCGTAGGGAACTCCTTGAACCTGATTTTTTAAAGAGCACAGTAAGATTAAAATATGACAGATTCCCACCACTTCATCTGGAATACTGCACTTATTATCATGATTCCATGATTTGAGAGGCATGCAATATCTAACCACTGCAATAAAGCTACACTGACCTCAGTGAATGCACCCACAGACCCCCAAAGCCCATTCCTGCACCATGAGAAAGCCTCGTGTGCATTTGAACATACACTGTCTTCCATCCTAAATGAAAAATAATCCAACTTCCCAAGTTCCCAAATATCTCATACCTTCAAATCAAATGGTTTACACTTTCAAAACCCCACTCCTGACAGCTGTGAGAATATGCTAAGTTTGATATTCAAGGAAGAGCCACGTTTCAGTCTCCAAAGCACAGAATTCATTTTGCACCACAGATTATTTTCTTCCACAAACACACAGAAGAAGTGACTGCGACCTTTCCTTCTACCCTTGTATAATAAACAATTTGTATGAGGAACAAATTACCTTGTAAGCGGAAAATAAGTGCAGCAAAACTGACCTTGAAACCAAATTTACATGCAAATAATGAACATAGAACCAGTACTGAGATTTCACCCCAACAGCAGGGTTTCATCTACACTTTATGATAAAGTGAAGTCTGTGTCCTAATATTGTCAGTCCCCAAATTCACACAAGACTTTAGAAAATTATGACATTTTAAATATGGTTTACACCAACAAGCTTAGCAGCAGCAGAAAGTATACCAATTTTATGGCTGAAAAATGTCTTGCCATTTCTTCTTAATCCTCCTGTATCTATTGAAGATTACTAAAACATGTCTCAGACCAGCAAAAAGAAGTTAATGTGGAAAGGTTTCATTTTGAAGGACCTCATTCGAAAGGTTGCTCTCCTGAACAAAACCAACCCTGGTGCAAAGGGTGAAAAAAAAATACCAGCGTGATAATTTTGGCAACAGAATTTCCATAGATACTGCTTTAGATCTGTTTCTTTGCACAAAAAAAATGTTTTCTTTTCAAAGTAGTATTTCCCTTGGCAGTAAGAATTCTCTTACTCATGGTACAGTGAGTTTCTTGCAGCAGACAGAGGTCCTGACTGAAGTCAAAAGACACACAGATACTTCTGCAGCCCATCAGGGCACAAGAAAGATGTGTTCCCTCATGCCAAAACTGGTTATGAATTAGCCAAAGGTCTGTACACTTGAACTGGCATCATGGTGCTGACTTGTTCATGTCTGTTGAAAAGAAAATAATCTCAAAAGCCTCGAGGTTAGTAAGTTATAATTTCTCTTTAAAGCAGGAGGTGTTTGTTAGTAACAGAACTAGGGGATGTTAAAGACCATCCTGCAAATCAGAGTCTTTCACTGAAATATGTGAGAGTTGGGACTTACAGAGCTCTTAGATAATGCACAAGTGATATATACTGAGAGAAGGGATAAGCATTTTAATTTAGGCTCCACTCCTAACAGAACAGTCCTTCCTGTCCCCCACTGCCTGGCTAACACTGATCCTTACCATTAAAGTGCTGCAAATGCATCTGGAGCAGCAGTGGGACTTGCCCAGGCAGCACTTTCAAACACAAAACATCCCACAAGGTTCTATTTTTAATTGCTTTTTCCTTTATTTCCAATTACTGTTTTTCTGCTCAGCTGCATCACTAACAATGACTTTTCTGTCCCCTGCTGTAAAGCCTGACACTTGGACAAATAAGTGCTCACAGAAAAAGAAACCCACCCATTTGGGCACCCAGCATCAGGCTCCCAAAATGCAGCCTAAGTTTGAGACAACAAGAAGTGCCAGGTTTTAGTTCTTCAATGCCATTAGCAATACTGAGAAGGTAAATTGGCTGCCAAGCACTAAAACTGAACCAGTGATTATGACAGTGATCTCTAAAAAAGCCTAGATCTCCTAAATGAGAAGCAGGAAAGGTTGTCAACATGTGATTTTAAAAGTTGGGTTGGAGTGACAAGCCAAGCACCAAGGATCAAAAGAAGCATAAACCAAAACAAAACAAAAAGCCAAAAAGGCAGAAGGAGAGGAAAAAACACTGCAGAGGAACATTCTGAACATGAAAAATACATCAGCTTGTGCCAGCAACAGAAAAGACCCTGGGGTCATTCTCTCCCAAGCCACATTTTGTCAGCAAGAGGAGAAGTAACTGCAAGTGCCTTCCCGTTGTGCTTCACCTCAGAAGCTTTTCTCCTTTGCTCTCAGGATGTCAGCAGTGCCTCAGGTTGTACCACAGGCAGTGACACAATCATGGACTCCTGACAACTTGATTACACAGAGGAGTGTGTCAGAAAGGGGTAACTGGCATTAAGATGAATTTTCTGTTGTGTACATGAAGCACGTTGGAGCTGTTCTTGGCACTGTTTGGTTTCAAAGGGTGTGTGCAACCAGGCCTGTGGCACCCACTGCCCACAAACCACCCGGGAGAGGGAACAGCCACAACCAGGTGCTGTTAAAAAACCCTCAAAATGACACCAAGAGCGAACACCTTGCAGCAGAAAACCTGAAAATGAACTGGATAGGGCTGAATGGAAGCAATTTCACAGTTACAGACTTTGGGAAACTAAGCCAGGGGCACCTTGCATACAGTGCCCCTGCACTGAGCCAGGAGACAGCTCTCCTCCCACACCCAAAACTCAGCTATGATTTCTACAGCTATAAACACATGTTAATCTTAGAATTGCATCTGGCAATGAAATGGTTTCATGTGCTCCCTTTCAAAACAGAGCATTTTGCAAAAGGTGATACTTTCAGCTTAGGGTTTATTTCCAATCGTAAAAGCCAAAATAATCAAACATACAATTCTTGATACCAAACCCAGAATGCAGATAATCTCAGTTTATCTAAGCCAGCATTACTGAAGGTGAGCAGATCACTGTGATCCATAATTCAAAAAAACACCATCCCAATTTGCAGGCAGCAGTAGTCTAAAGTCAGTTCTGCTTGGGGTAATGCCTATCAGCAGACAATTACTGAGGCTGTCTTTAAATGAGTAAATTTCCATCTTTTCTGCCTTGAAAAAAAAATACAGAACACAGCAGGAATATAAATTGTCCTTGGCTTTTTTTTCCCTGCAAAAGTGTGGCTGGTCTTGCATTATAAAAGGTAACACTGCTGGAAGCTCAGCACTCACCTGCCAGACAGATGAGCTGAGACTGAGCTCTTTCTCTCTAGACATCCTGCCCCAGAGTAATTCTAGTTCCAAATGATCCACTTCTTATAAAAATCTCAAACCAGTCTCAAAGGCTTTTTATTTAGGTATAACTGACAGCCATCAGAATGCTCATCCCTGTCAGATCTCCTGGAAGCAGGGATGGACTTATAACCATGTTCCAGCAGTTTAGCAGAGCTGTGATAATCAATCATCTTCACACCCAGCCCACAGCCATCTCAGGGGATTAAGCCCACCTTGAACAGCAAAGGAACTTCAGGCCAGTCTAAAATAAGCTGTTTATTTTGGATTTGCTGCAGTCACAGCTTTGCTCTTGCTGCACAGTGCCCTGCTAAGCTGTCAGAACTGGATGGCAGTTCCTAAGCCCTACAGCTTTCAAGGAAGTCACTTATTGTAGCCCAGATATGTCAAACTGTGGCCACATTTTGGCCTTTTTTAATCATTATTTCTCATGTCATCAGTGTGAAGACAGAATGCTGCATTATTACCACACACAATCCCACAACATGTGCCAGCCCACCCAGTTAATAAATGGCACCATGAACCACTTCTCCTGCAGGCAAACCCAGGCTGTACCTGCTCGGGGCTCGACTGTCTTGTTGGAATCTGCATCCAGGAAGACAAACCGTCCTCCCCCGAAGTCCTGGGTGTAGTCAGAGAGGTAGAGCAGAGAGGTGTAGTCAAAAGAGCCATAAGTCACCTGGGGGGGAAGACAACATGACCAAAAATGACCAAATTCTGCAGAGCACAAATAATTCAGCAGATAGATCTGATGGGTTATTCTAATTATCCAGTTTTGACACAAATCCTCTGTGTTCATTAGTCTGTTCTGTTACATGTACACACGTGCTGCACACAGGAGCAGCCTGTCATGTTTATTATCACAGTTTCCATAACTCCAGAAGTGCTCCTGTTGATTTCCAGCATCCAGGAGCAAAATCAACACAGTGCCAGAAGTTACACCCCTGCCTCGTGTCCAAAGTACAGCAGAGCTCAGATCTGCTTACACTATTCCAAGGTAAAGGTTAATGAGCAGAAGAACAGCCTTTGACTAATGAATCCCACCCATTATCTAACCATGGTTATAGATTTCTGGAAACCTCACTTTTCACTTCTTCACCAGCTACCAGGCAGGAGCTTCGTGGTAATAATAAATCAGACTTTCCAAATAAACACACATTTGTTGGAGGAACTTCTACTCTTTTCCATACAGGTTTTGTTTAAAAACCTTCAAACGTGACTTTCTAAGTCTCTGCTTCTTCTCAGCCTACAGACCAAACATCCCATTTTTAAGTATAACAAAGTGATTTTTCCTTCCTTGTAAAGCATTATTTTTGCTTGATATGTACATTGAAGATGGAGAAGAGAAATATTATATATTAATGCTCAGAGAGAAGCTATCTAAATATTTAACACTGAGTTTAGCTGATTCTGAAAATATTTCCTTTCATATCTACACGTCACCAGCAATTAAAAACATCCTTAAAATCAATGGCTGTATTCTCCCATTTCTTACCAGTAAATCACAGCTCTAGAGTTCAGCATTGCACTGTCAAACAGGGAAATGTGCAGCACAGTAGTACTCTATAAACACCCAGCATTTGCAGAGTGTTTTGACTGACCTGGTGACTGTCAGAGGTAGGTGCTACTTCCAAACTTTGAAGATTTCTAAATATTTTCAGTTATGTTTCAAGTTACATTCATTAGTGCCAGTTAAATTTTTGGCTCAAGAGCAATTGTGCATATTTTTCTGTAAGGGCAGTGACTGAAGAGAACAGAGCAGCAGATGGAACAGGAAGACATTCTCATTCTTACTCATTTTATTATTTTGACCATAAGGGCTTAAAGGCAGAAAGCCAGATCTGGTGATAAGCTGCACTACACAGCCTGAATCACAAGAATGAGAGAAATGTTACAGTGATCCCCTTCCCCCCCCTTATTTTCCCAAACCTTGGTAGCAACACAAGGCAATAAATGGGAATTAATGAGCAAGTGGTACTGCAGCACCTCAAACCAGCCATTCTGCAGCCCTTCTCATGCAAATCAGCTCTGCAAAGCTATTTTCCACTTCATTGATTTGGTGATAAAACTTCCCATCAGTTTAAGGAAGCCTTCCAGCCAGCAAAGGCACGAGCACAGTGAAGTTCATTCAGCTCATACCTGCAATTTTAAGGCATTTAAATTGTTCTTATCAAGTCTTCAGTGGTGCAGCAATCTCTGCTCCCTCAGTGCACTCTCCATCCTCTCCAAGGTGGCTTTACCAATTCTAAACTTCTAAAGAGCTGCCTACAAACCATTTTAGCCTAATCAAACACATCTAATTGCTAGAGATGACTAAATGTGCAAAGCAAAATGGCTTTTCTGTTCCTGCCCTTAATTCATTACTAACTCTCAGAAGCAGCCAGGCCTGAGAAATCCAACACTATGGAAAGGAGGCACTAAATTATACTCAGTTAAAATGCTAAAAGTCCTCCCATGTATATGAAATGTATTTGTTACCCTGGTAAATGATTTCCAGTACCAGACAGGTTAGTAATTTGAATCAGAAGTTCACACTATGTGAGAAAAGCTGTCATTAAAACCAGGGGATAAGCCATACAGCCACAGCAAATCAATTTTCTCCAGCTCCTTATGAACAAAATAGAAAAAAATGCAGGTATTTCCATTCAGCCTGATATGTCATAGAGTTAGTGTGCTCTTTTTGAGCACTCTTTACCCAAAAGAGGTCAAACATAGCTACTATTTAATGGCAGCTGCTCATAATGATGTTTATATGATAGTTCTTTAAAGGCAATTATTATAAATAGAACTGTCAGCATTAGCCAGACACATTTTTGCAGTGGCACCCTTGGGTTTTTGAGGGACATGTTTATATGCAACTAAACAGTTTTAGGACTGTGCAAGAGGCCTGCAGTTACTAAGAAGGATATTTAGGACAACATCCTCTGCCTTCCATTGCAGAAGAAAATTCACTTTCCAGCCAGCATCAGTCTAGCTTGGTATCTTGCAGGGAAAAAAAGAGTAAAAACTACTCTTTTCTCCATCTATCTACTCCACCTATATCTGTGTAGATAATCACAAAAACAGCCTTGATAGTTTCTCCCAGTGATCTATTTATTGGTAGGAACTATTCAGCAGACAGTGTAGGACAGCAAATCCCACATCTCTGAATTACAGGGGGCAGGAGGTGAGCTGAGGTGACAGCTCTGAGCAGACACGGGGATCAACTTCCTCAAAGGACAAAGATGATGCTGTTTTAAGGCACAGTGAGATCTCTGGATGTATTTTATAAATGTGTAACAACATTAGGGGAGGAAAATAAGAGTGAAAAGCCAGACTGAGCAGCCAGAGAGGAGAGAGGGCTGGGGAGGGTTTGGGGACATGGAGAGCACGATGTAGGTGAGGGGACTGAGGTTTGGCTGAAAAGGGATATGATTCCTGCCTTATAAATACATGGGGATGGGAGGAGGTGGAACTGAGAGGAGGGGAAAAATAGCTATAAACTGATCATGGCCAAGTTTAGGCTTAAAAAAAACCCAACCAAAATAATTTTGAGAAAATGTGCACTGAAGTCCTGGAATAGCTCTGATAGAAGAAATTCAAGGAAAACAAGCCCAGAAGGATCTTCTGGCAGAGCCTGATGATTCTGTGAAGGATGACAGGATCCTTGCCCAGGCAGGGGACTGGAGAAATCTGCAAGTCCCACATTGCTTCTATTAGAGAACGTTCTAAGACTGCACTGCTGACAGTGTGCAACAGCAACTCCATTATAAATAACATTTTTGACATTTGAAAGCCTCAGTTCCCAACAAATTCCATCCAAGATGAAACTCCACATCTTAAACCAACACTCTCTTTATTTGATTTACATGCTTATAAATTCAACAAGATTAAATGAGTCATCTGGGTGATTGCAGGGTTTCCATTTCTATGTAACTACAAACCAAATAAATTTTAGGGAAAAAAAAAAAAACACCAAAGCCTCAGATAGACACAATAAATCTGTACTACTCCATTATGCAGTTAAAAATCTTTAAAACCAAGGAGAGTCAGATTAGAAATATCATTGCAATAGGCTCTGCAACATAGGGGAAAAGGCAAGAGGGGTATTTGTGTGCTACAAGAAGCCAAAATCTTTGTAAAAACTGTCAGACTTCAAAACAAGAAACGCATCGGATTCTTTTCTCAAAGGCTTAATTTTACCTTTCTTTTGGAAAGAGGCAAGAGAAAAAAATCCTATTGTCTTCTAGGAGTAACCTTCACTAGGTATTTCTGCATAGCAATTAAAAAAAGTGACTTGTCCTGTTCCAAGCATCCAAGAAACTGCCAAGTTTTATTGATGTTTCTTCAACTTCCTTGTATTCACACTTGCTTTGGAGGCCACAGAAGAAGACTAATGCTCTTAACTGGGAAGCACTTCCTACCTCCAATCAATAGCAATGGATTTTTTTTTTCCTTGCTTTCACCTGCAGTCTGGAAGTGGTAAGTGAAAACTTAACTTTGTTGGAGAAAGTAAAATACAAGCCAGACTGCACTCAAGGCAACCTGTGAAGCTACAACTTCATCCTATTTAGTCTCTGTTCAAACTACTTTTGATTGTGAACAAGGTGTTTGGTAGCTGCTCCAACTGGGATAATTATCTCTTCATAGCCTCAAAGAATTATTTAGGCTGGAAAAGACCTCCAAGATCAACCACTGTCATAAATCAGACAACCCACTTCTTCAGTATAGACACTATTAAGGTTTAGATTATGCATTCCAAGTTTAAGGGAGCACATTTTCTGTCTGTTTTGGTGTTTTGAAGCTGAGGGTGGGTTAGAAAAAGCCAAGGCCAATCAACTGATGGATCTGCTCCCTGAACAGCCTGCCTGCAAGATAAACAAAACATGGACAAAGCAGAAGGATAAAAGCAGCAAAACATCTACCCTGCTGTCCATCATGTTCAGGCACTCTCAGGCTGTCAGGACAAAGACTCAAGGGAAAAAAATCCTCTTCATGGAAATCTATTTGCTTCTAAATGACAAAATAACTTGTACGTTATAGGAGATATTTAGGTGGAAACACTTAATTGTGAGGTTATCCAAGCACTTTATTCATTTCTCAATGCAAAACACATGCAGAAAAGAATAAAGAGCATATTGGCAAGCTTAATGCTTGAGCAGACACAAATCTCATTATAGTAATAAATCAGGGTCTGAAATTCTGAAATACGCTTTTTAGGGGCTGAAACAACAAAGTGGAGAAAACAGGCATCAGCTGTTGAAATTAACTGCTTTCTCTTCCCTTGTGGCAGCCAAATTTGGTTCTCTGAAACTGCAGGAAAATTATAAGGAACTGATGAATTTACTGCACTTCACACAACCAGGATCCCTGGTTTGTTCTGTGTCTCTGGGAAACGAGCCTGAGGTGGTGGAATTCCTGTGAACCCCCCCAGCACAATCTGCTCCCTGCAGCCACTCCCCACCAGCGCTAGTCCAGATAATGTGGACCTCAAAACCATCCCTCTCATCTCTGGTGTCCCACAGCCACTCCTACCCCCTGGTTACATCCCAGCTTTTTAAACCAGAAGCCTCCAAAGCCGGGCCTTGCCTTTGCTGTGTCCATGACTGCGGATTCCACCCCGCCGGACTTTCTGCTTCCAACCAGCAGCTGGGTCAGGGACCAGCACGTTTTCTACACTGAAGCTGCTCCTGCTCACGTGACAAGAAAGGGCACAGGAGCTCACACTAATGTTGTGAGCAACAACAGACATTCCACTTCCCTCAGACTGGCTTTTTCCAGGAAACACTTCCAGGCGAGGAGTATTTCTCTGTTTGGTTTTCCCATCTTAGGTGTTTCAGGTCATAGACTTCGAGGTACACTGCCCACTTAGAGATTCTAGCCCTGAGCATAACTTGGATTTTGATGGGCAGATTTTTGTTTGCTTCCATTTTGGGTAATCCATGACTCCAGAGTGACTCATTTATAAATCCTGAAGACATGAAATGTGGGTATCGTGCTGTGGAGCTTCTTTGTTTGGGGGTTTTTCATGTTTTGGGCTTTTTTCCTTTCATTCTTCCATTATTTGTATTCTGCTATACTTCATAGAACCTTTAAATCCAGTTCAATTCAGCAATTAACTCAATACCAAATCAATTAAGTCCATTAAAAATGCAAAGTACTAAGCTCTGAATCTAAAGATAGAAGACTGAGCACTTAAAATAGTCACAATACTTCCATTCTAAAAAGAACACAACACTGAATAACTGAAAGGGGGGTACCATACCCCCTTTGAAAAACATACAGTAAAAAAGCCTCAATTCACACATAACCGAAATATAAATGTTAAGCCTTTATCAAAAGGCTCAGATCAACTAACAGCAGTGATCAATTGACCACTGTGAAACCTCTCCTGCCAGACCTGGCTGAAATTCAGGTCAACTTAATCAATATTTCTGACAAAAGAGATTCCTGACTAGTCATTCTCACAATTTATTAATCCTAGAGAAACCAAATTAGAGAAAATAAAATTAAATGGGATGTAATGGCCTACGTTTCTAAAACTCACTTATCTCCCATTAGCTTCATCCCCTGAAGGATTTTTACAATCACCAATTTTCAAACATGTTTGACTGATTGTTTAATGCAAAATGACTTCAAAGTGATCTAATAATAACAAGAGACCTTTGAATCCCCCCTCAGCCTCCTCCTCACCTTGTCGACGTGGGGGTGCCAGTACTCATCATGGGTTGTCTTGGCCTCTGTGCTGTTCATTCTGGAGAAGAAGGTTGGCTTGGTCAGGTACATGGAGGAAGAGCTGATCCCAAACACCTCAGCGATCCTTTGTTGAATTCTCTGTCTCACATCCCTGCAAAGAACACACGGAGCACAGAATGCTCAGTGACACCTCTCCTGCTGTTCTGAGTTTTCCTTCATTCCCTTCATTCTCAGTTTAGAGCCAAGCTTCTTCCTCAGCTGATAAATCATGAGGAACACATAGCCATACTTTCTGATTTTGCCTTAAATAAAGAAGATGTACTACATCCAAAAAAGTGGTCTGGGTTGGGGTTGGTTGCTTTGGGTTTTTTGATTCCCAGAATATCAGGGGAAAAAACCTCTTTGTCTCCTGTGGCCTAGGTTTTACAGTTTTTCTCTATAAGCAAGCTGTTTTTCTCACTGTTTATTAACTGCTGAAAACATCAGTGTCTTTCACACAGGTATTTTTAATCCAAAGCAAGTAACTGTTAAGTTGTGCCTTCACAAAGGGTTGAACCTTCAACTGCTTTTAGACTGATTTTGAACCACCTGGTGAAGTCCCTGGCACCATGAAACTCGGGGTTCTTGATCAACATATATATTGGTATTATAAGCAGATCTCCTTTCAAAATGAATGCAAGATGTCTTTCCCAATTATTTTCAAAGATCAGACAAAGTGTTTCTACCTTGGCTACTCCTGTGTTTCTTGGGAGACAAGGAAGAACAGGACAGGGCTTTTATTTTATTTCAAGGTTTTTAAGGTTATCAAAACAGAAAACCAATGGTCACATATGTGATGCTGTACAGACCTGCTGCTACAGCAGCATCCCTCTGTCAGGCCAGGGCCATCTAGAACTGCCCCTCTTGGTTCAGTCCCCAGCACTTTAAAAAGAAGAGATTTGGGCTTAATGAGGAATACCTCTGGCAAATCCCAGTAAACACACTCAGCTAACATTCAACTTTGAGGAAATTTAAAAACCAGCAAAGAATGCAATAACACAACGTGATGAAATGAAAACACTGGGGTTCAAGATTTAATCCTGTTTCTTAAAACCTTTGTGTTGTTTTCTCCCAAAATACAGCACGTAACTATTTTGAAAAGCAGAACAAAATCACTTAAGGAGAATAAAGTCACTTCTTAGCCTATAAAAACTCTTCTGTACAGCCTAATTTCCACTGACCTGGCCATTCCAACATTTATCAATATCACGACTGCAAGTTTTTCATTCCATTCCCTTCCCTGCTGTTCCAGACACAGTCTATGGAGGCTATTGGCAAAATACTTAAGGACAAATCTGGTGTACTTCATGTATAAATCAAGATAAGCCAAATTTCAGCTTAAAAGGTGCTCTCAAGGAAGGAGTGAGTAAGCCCAGGAACTCTGGTTCCCTTGGATCTGGTACAGCCAGAGCTTTGTTGTTCCCTTATGGACCCAGAAGCAGCAGGAGCCTCCCTTTCCTTCTTGATCCTGGCCCACTGACTCCTTATCCTTTTTCCTCTGTGTCCCCCACATATGAAAAACTGTTGAGGGAGTTCTGGTGTACTATGGCTGCAAGGAAAAAACTTCTTTATGCTGGAGAATATAAGCATTTGCTTCCATAAACACAGCAATTATTCCCTCATTGACTGCTCAGGGCTCTGAGCAGATGCACTAACAGAGCTCTGCCATGGCAATAAATGCAAGTACAAGTACAGCACCCAGTCTGAAATATCAGTAACAAATTAACCCCCCCCCAAGTCTGTCAGCAGCAGGCCTTGTCCATTTGCACTGAGATACTGGATAAAAACTGGATAATAACAAAATGCACAGGCCAGACTCAGGGAAAGGCAGAACAGAGCTCCATGAAAAGAGCACATGACCACCAGATTCTGTAAAAACAGTTACTGAAATCTATTTTGGAGTTAGGGTGATGAGGCAGAAAATAAAACAAGCCAATGAAGTAGCTAGAAGTCCAAGGAACATACAAGTTAATAAAAAGGAACTTCACTAGATTGAAAATCACCAGTATAATGCAGCAGCAGCAGCAAAAAGGACTAAAAGAGCCACAGAACAGTTTCTGAAGATACAGGCTCTGCCCAGAAGAGCAAAAAATGCAGTTGGGAGCCACTGCAAAGTGATTCAAGCACGGTGACAGGAACAGTCCGAGTCCAATCCTACACAACTTCCCTGTTATCCCAGTTGTCAGCACCACTGCTCCTCCCAGGGAACAGCCCCAGAGGCAGCTGGAGCAGGCAAGGCAAGGATCTCCTACAGCCAGAGGGCCTGAACACAAATCCAACACGCAGAAAGCAAACTATCAGCTCTTCCCCTGCTCTGTGTCTCTGCCTTAATAAGCTGTAAGGGTTTCACAATAAATCTCTGACAGTGCTGTTTGCTGCTCAAGTCAACCCTCACACCAAACATCCTGATTCAAAGGTCTCCCTTCTGGATAAAGATGCATCTGTTCTGTGAAACAAGAGGAACTGCTGTAATTGTGCTTGGCAGATGGTGGTTAAAGCATCAGCCTGGAAACCATAATTGATTCTGAAGCGACATAATTTTGACAGAGACAGTTTAGAAACCATCCCCCTGGCTCAGGATGCCTACTCAGGTCTGTTATTGTTGCAATCAGTAATACTTAGACACGAATTACATTCAGTTATTTCTCTCAAGAGTGTATTTTTAAACTGACCTTGGTAGGTAAGGGAAAGTAATGAAGATAAATGCTCCCAAGAACAGCATAAAATCATTCATCAAGGCCATAAAGTACTACAATCCATGTTAAAGCACTGCCATTAATATGAACAGAAACATTTAACAATAGATTTCGTTTTAGCTTCATATCCAGCAAACTGAAACATCCCCTATAGTGGCATGAAATCCCAGTGGAATACTGATATTCCCAAGCAGCTGTCTCTTCTCACAGCATCAATTCATTAGATTATTGAAAAACTGAATGCTTCTGTTCATGTGAAACAGAAATTATATATTTTCTTTAAGTAATAATCAAGGAACCATCTCATTTTTGCCATTTTGGGATCAGAAGTAAACATGTTTTAAAGAAGTTTATCTGTAAGGACAATGGTATCTAAGGCAGTTATTGAATAGAAATAAGCTTTAAGTGATTAATATTTTAGTATAATATTAATTAATTACTATTTTAATAAAACTAATAAACCTATTTGACTACTTCAAACTCCTACCACCACTAGAGGGAGGTCAAATTCCTTCACAAAGGCAAGTAAAAAAAAAAAACCAAAAAAAAAAAAAAAAGAGTTAAAGTGTTCAAACCAGGGGCATTCTAAATTATGAGAAACCAGCTGAAATGCATAACCAAAAGATTCACTGTGTCTACTCAACAAAGAATGATTGCTCCTGAACTTTGGCCACACACCTTCACAGGCACAGGGTTTGTTGTCTTCCTTAAGGGTGACAGGGAAGCTGAAAGCATCAGATGCCAAAGCTGTGACATTATGGAGCTACTTGTGAGGGGGATTATGCTCTCCTTCTCCAGTCAGAACATCAGTCATTTAATAATAATAAATCCTGCTTCACCATTTTTAATGTCCTGCTACACTTCACCCCCAAACCCCCACAATCCTGATGTAATAATGGCAGAGAATTGTCTCTGTCCTCTAATACAAGAAACAGGAGTTGATGAGGAAGGATTTTACATCCCAGCAAATCACCCCAGAACTCAGATAAAGCTCACAGGGCTGCATCAACCCCTTGGGCAGGGAGGGAAATGTGTGATCCCATTTACACCATCAGAACTGCCCTGACATGGCTGATGCAGCTCTGCTCAGAGCAGTGATGTTGTTGATCAGTCACCAGAAGATCCTCTTATTTCTCTTCCTCGAGTCATCTTATTTTTCAGAAATTACTATTCTGAGCTGCAAAATCAAGTGTATGTATGAATGCAAAGGACAATCCCCTCCCGACCTGCACTCTAAGAAACCCCCAAAAATACAAAGTTCAGGTTTGTGGTTCATTCAGCAGTTACTGGAAACCTTTACCGATACAACGCAAAATCCTCTTCCGTGAAGATGTCGTGAATTTTGTCCCCAAAGTACCTGCAAAATTAAACAACAGGCTAAAAGAGGAGTTGCTGAATGAGAATCTCTAAGTAACACCAAGATGCCTCCTCACCCCACGTGTGATTTGCTGACAGTCAAAGAGTGAAAACACAACACAAAAAAATCCTACAAATGCTTTTGAGCGTGATGTGCAAAAGCACTGCTAAAAGATTAAATGTTGAAAGATTAAAGGATCAAAATGCTGCAGCTGGTAATGGAATTCCCCAGGCATTAAAAAAAGTTCCCTCCCAAATCACGAAATGAGCACATGGATTCAAATTTTTAAGAGTTCAGCCTACTTGATTTCTTCCCCTGCTGACAAACTAGACTATAACTGTGAAAAAATACTATGATTTACTGGTGCAAGAACCTCAAAATAAAGATAATGGCAGCCTTCAAAGAGCCCAGCTCAACAAAAGATTGGTTTTCAAGCCACAAAAGCTCTTTAACTGGTTGTGGAAACCGTGGTGAATCCAAGCAAATTCCACAGTTTCTCATCACTAATCCCAGCCCACAGGGCTTGAGAAATTGGAAGAGGGACTGGGCATGGATGGTGTGGGATAACAAGAGGCAGGAAGCCACAGCCCCACTTTACCTGTACAGATTAACAAAATGCTTCCCCAGGGAAAGAGCTCCGGAGTGCAAGTCCAAAATTGATGCCTGGAAAAGGAAACAGAAGGAAAAATGAGCATGAGAAGGTTTTATCATTATTTAACTATGACCTTTAATAACTGTCCCAAGTTGGCTCTCACTTTCCACAGCCTCCCAAGCAAAAATATTGGTTTCTGGCATTTGGGTTCACAATATAACATTTGCTTTACTACTCCAGACCTCTCTGAGATCACTGTATGGATGCACAGAACGTTCAGGTACTTTGAAAAAGGCACAGGACTGCTATTCCTGAGATTCAAACCTGACAGGGAATTGCCATGGGCTGGGGGTAAAATACTATGTTCCAGGATTCCTTCTTGAAGACATTTCCCTTCCACACAAAGATGACTAATTTTCCAGTATTTGTGAAGTGCTCAAGTAGCAGCACTAATATTTATCTTGCCCAGCATTTGTTATTAAAACTTCTCCTTCACCCTGAGTTCCTGTACACTTCTCATATTTAATATAGACATAAAAAAGTCTGTTTAAAAGAACAATTAGAATTCTAAGGCTTACTAAAGCCAAAGTCTCTTTTCCTCAATTTCTAAACTGTTGTAAAAGAAAACCACACAGTGAAAAGTTTTTACATATGAAAATTCAATCCACTTCTTCATCCAGTTCAAACCAAACTCTTCTGCTAAGCTCCAGATGAGCTAAAAAGATTAGTATTCAGATTGGCCAGGATGGAGAGCTACCCCTCAGGACTCTAAAATATTGCTCTGAATTGAATAAAGTACACTTTTTATGTCCCTTGCTGTCCACAAAATACATGTTTGGTTTGCATCAGTTAAACAGTATTTAAAAATATCGCTTCTAATAGCAGCCTTTTCTTTATACTGGAAATATCAAATGGCAACAGTTAATTAACCTGCCTGACAGCAAAGTAATCACATCTTTCATACACAATATCCAGGCAAAAGCAATCATCTTGGAATTTGTCATTTTTTTGATGCACCACATACCATTCACATTATTCTAACAAAATCCCAGCAGTAATAACACTTGTGATGCAGGAAAACACTCACAGCAGTCCCTCAGAAAAATCTCTGCAGCCTCAATTGCTCTGAGCTCCAGAGCTGAATCAGGGGAACCCCACTGACATCTCCTTTTACAAGGGATAGTCTTATTTATAATAATTTTATTTACCCCTTGAAAAACACATCAAGTTTCAAGCTATTCAAGTGGACACAGCATGAGCTTTTCAGACCTCCCCTTCCCACAGTTGTCCAAAAGCTTCAGAGGACTGTTAAGAAAACAAGTAATCTCACACTCAGGCAAGAGCAGTTCTTGTAATAGGCTTTACTCAAGCTTCACAAGCAAAATACTTTCATTTATTGGTCCCTAGTTCTGTACAAAAATATAAGCCACAGAGTGTGCAGCTTCAAAAATATGTTTGTGACTCTTCTAAAGTAGATGAGAAGAAGTACCAAGACACAGCTGAAAAGATGAATTTAATTTAAAACCAAACTGCCTTTCTAACTCTTTCCACGTCCTTTTCAAACTCACACATTTCTTCTCAGATGATTACAGTTAGGAAGATCCAAAATAACCAAGTGAATCAATAAAAGACATCTCCAAGAACTGTAGGTATTTATAACTGAACAGGTAATAACTACAATATAAAGCCTAGAAAAGCCAGATGAAGACTGAAAAGGGAATCTGGAAAAGAAAGAACATTCTTTGGGGTTGTTTCCAACAGGGAGAAACAACTTAATGCCAGACAGGGACTTGTTTACAGGTGAGCCCAGAACTATTGGTGTAAGAGCTACCTGGGAAAGAAACCAAAACAGATTTATTTTGGCCTCTGCCATTTCAGAAAATTAAACATTTTCATCATAATTTCTGACACTGAGAAGCAAACCTTGGTTACTTCAAGCCCAGCTATCTGCCCAAAGGTCAGCCAGCAGTTCAGGTCAGTGTTCCCAGGCTGGAAGCTCTACAGAGATGGCAAACACATACCCACAACCCTATTTTGAGAGGCTGTTTGACAGAACTACCCCCATATCCTGATTTTCAGAACTTTCTATAGAAGGGAAATAAAATTTCCTCAAAAAAATAAAAAGCACAAATACATGTTCTTTCAAACCTTCAGTACTGCTAATCCCATACTCTCTACCCTCTGCTAAAAGGATTCAAAAAGAACATTTAAGTACTCAGCACTTCTCAGCATATGGCAAAAAGGATCAATTTTCCCATCTTGGGAAGCATGACAGGCCCTCCCTTTGTTCCTCCCTAAAAGGGATTGCCAAACATTAAATACCTTTTCACATCTACACCAACTCCTCCAGCCCATAAAAGGTTTTAAGTGATATTTCTAAAGAAAACAGCAGACACACTTCCCAAAGGAGAAGAATGCAAAAAAACTTACTTCTACTTGTCTACAGAGGAGCTGGCAGCACTCAAAACCTTCCCCACTGCTGCTGTGGGAATGCTCACCCACTCCAGCTGAGAAGAAGGAAGAGCAGTGGAGGTTCTACCTGGCCACCAACTCCTGGGCAGCACAAACTTGGTGTCACTGCAGGGAGCCTTGCACAGACTCCCAAAACAATCCCACCTTTACATACCCTTCCCTACTTGAGACAGGAGTAGACAGACAAGAGGTATGGCCTCGGGGAAATGCCTCTTAGATTAATTAGGATTAATTAGGAGACACAAGTGTAACCAGTGTGACTTACACATCAGTCAGACTGCTGGAGGTACAGGTTATTGTGGAAGTTAAAAGCAATATTTGGCTACTGAGCCCAGGACAACTTCACACCAGATACAGACTGGACACACCCAGTTCCTCTCCAGCTTTTTGGAGCTAAGCCCAGACAATCACACCAGCACACAGCTGTGAGGGAAGTGAAAGACAGGCTGCCAAGTAGGTCTTTCACTCCTCCCAAGTATGGGTTTCCTAAGGGCTATCAGGAGGTTAACTGGGAAGGAAGAAAACTACACAGCCTGTAGAGGTATGAGACAGGACCTGCAGGGGCTTTATGTTCTCCTTGGAAAAGGCAGAGCTGGCAGCATTCTGAGGACCTCAGAGTCTGGCTGGGAGGGCTGAAAGCAGAGCAAGAAGGGGCACAGTCTGCAGAACCACTGTCCACATGGGCTGGTGGGCTCACACCAGAACCCCTCGTTTGGCATCACAGCTGCACAGGCTGTTTGCTTCCCCCAGAGATTACTCAATTAATTCTCCCTGCAGAGGGAGGGTAGATGGCCACTCCTGCCAGCCCTCTTGGAATGCAGGACACACACACTGCTGAGTGGCTCATCCAGGCATTTCTTTTCTGGGGCTTCTGAATAAATGCCAAGAGGTGTGATGGGAACTGAGTGGTTTCACTTCCAGCAGGGCGTTGTTGTGATGGCAGCACCTCCAAGGAGGTGAAGGAAGGAGTCAGGACTGGAGGGGTAACACAGGCAGGAGGGTGTGCAGGGAAAGAGTAGGCAGGGAAGAATTATAAAAATCAGAGGAGGTCGAAAAGGGAAATGTCATTATTGCTATGTAGAAGAAAAAAAACTAAGCTGAGGCAAACAATGGAATTCACGTTCTGTGAGTAAGGAACAGGGTATAAAACAACTGCAGGAGACAGATGCACAAGGGAAAGCAGCTTAGTGGTGAAGATACTCCTGTTTGGATTCTGTTGGAAGTCAGACCAGAAGATTACCGTGGCCTCCTCCAGCCTCACTCTGTGTGTGTGTAAATAAAACTAAATCCAGGAAAAATTACAAAGGAAGATAAGAGAGTTCAGCATAACAACTGGGGCGTGACTCCTGGGAGGCCTCAATAATTCAGGTGTTTGTCAGGACTTTCTCAACATGGAACAGGAAAGAAGTTTTTGTGCTGTCTGTGCTTCAGCACTCCAGGGAAGGGCAGCCAACAAAGGGAGGAGAGAACTGACAGTCACACACTGCAAGTTTAGGTCTTTAAATTAATAAATGGTATCCAGACACACAGACACAAACACAGTTCTGTGAATTCAAAATACAATAAGTATGACAGACCAAAAAAAAAACCCAGATATGTTGATTAAAAAGGGGCTAAGAAGAAATCCAAGGGAATGAAAATGCAGTCTGCACCCCAGTAGAAAACTGCAGACATTTTATTTGGAATAGTGGAGAGATCAAAGTGGCTAAAGAAAGAATTAAAAATAATTAAACAGCAACAAGGTGTTATTTAAGGTATTTTAAAAGAAAAAATATAGTCTTAGAACAACAGGCATAACTGGATAGAATTATCCATACACTCTAAATTAAAGCAACAAGCCAGACATAATCCAAGTGGCTTGAAGCTTGAGAGCAGACAGGCAAAGTAGCTGGATGAAATAAGACTGGAAACATTTTGTATGCTATGTAGGTAAGAGATTGGAAAAGATGAAAGGCTCAAATGAAGAAAGACAGTTTCATGTAAACCCCATCAGCTCACACCCAGCAGGATCTAATGATACCTGAGAGCCCAGACAGCACTGTGGGGAAAAGATTCACTCCATGACCTGGGGAATACAAGCTGGCACATTGGAAAAGAGAGAGGGAAATGGCAGAACAGGAGAAAGAGGTATAAAAGAAACCTGGTAAAGAGACTGTATTTAAAGGCTTCTCCTGAACATGATTCTTCCCTGGGAGGGTGGGGAGGCCCTGGCACAGGTTGCCCAGAGAAGCTGTGACTGCCCCTGGATCCCTGGAAGTGTCCAAGGCCAGGTTGGACGGGGCTTGGAGCAACCTGGGAGAGTGGAAGGTTCCCTACCCATGGCAGGGGGTGGAACTGGATGGGCTTTAAGGTCCCTTCCAACCCAAACCATCCCATGATTCTATCATCTCCCAGCAACACTAGTCAGCTCTTGTGTTTAACATCTTTCAGTGTTTATCCACTATTTTGGGTAAGGCCTCAATGCAATACTACACAGTTTTGTTCTTACACCTTCCCCTAAGGATTAACAGCACACAAGAACTTCCTCACCCTTACAGCTGCTGAGCCATGTGAGCAGGCTTGGCTCAGAGCCCAGACCTCTCCATGCACATCAGATTCTCAGCAGATTTATTTTATTGCAGTGATAGCATCATCTTCCCCTCTCCCTCACTTCCCTCTTCTCTAAATAAAACCTCTCAATGATGCTTCCAACATAACGTAGATGATGGATTTGTATCTGCCTGATGCTCTGGTTTGTTGTCCAGCAAAGCCAGCTCAGCAGCCCTGCCCAGCTCTGTGCTTTGGGGCAGAAAGTTTAACTCCCCCTCACATATTTTCCAAGCTTTCTCTGCCTCAGGCTCCCCAGTTCCCTGACCCCCAGCTGGACAACACTTTCTGTGGTCCAAATCCCTGAGGCTATCTGAGTTATACCTTACCCCTGTAATCCCTCTTTGTGGAAGTGCAATGAAAAATCACATGTAGGGCCCCAAAAGCACAGGAGAGGAAACCCACTAATGCCAGGAGCCAAGGGGAGGGTCCCAACAGGCAAAGTGGCAAATCATGCAACCACAGAACTGGAAGAAATCCAAGGGATCCCAACAGAACTGAACACAGATTGTTAAATCTTTTAAACATATTGTTTGAGATGGGCAGCACTGCTTCAGTTTCTAAGTTTATGGTTTTTTGCAGGTCTTTCTCATCAGTCACAAGGACAATAAAGTCTTATTTTTCTTCACTGAAACCCTTCTTTTCTGCTAATACATGCCCTAATTCAGCAGAGGCCTAAAGAAGTGGCTGTGTTTGCAAATAGTCAAGAAACAGTTTCTGTTTGTACACAAAAGCATTCTGAGAACAAAGACAGGGTAAAGAAATTAAAATAAATGTGCTTGTAAAAGATAAGTGGGATTGTTTTCATTTTAAAGAATATTATTCCAAGGTTTACTTAAGACATTACATGGCTTTTTTGTCACTACACAAAACCAATCTTTACCTGATGCTGTGAACCACTGTAATTTAGTTTCAGAAGTCAAACTATTGCAATTCTGCTACAGTAACTGTTTCCAGATGAAGAGAAAATCAGTTCAAGAGAGGTGCTAGAAATAACTAAACTGAATTCAAGGAAATGGCAACTGTATTGCACAAGTCAGGAGTTACACTGCTAACAGAGGTATTAATGGGAGATAACTTTCTAAACAAATTTTTTTCCAAGTTTGAACGGAAGGAAAAAATTCTCCATCTCCTCGACCCCCCAGAAAATGCATTTATAATCTTGCCTTGGCAGTAAAAGAATGTAGAAAGTAACAGGACACTGCTCACCCCTCCATCAGATCCTCCCAAGGACAGTCCCCTCTCTGCTATTCTGCAGGCAAAACAATAATCTCAGATGAGAACTGAAGTCTGAGTACTTTGTCCTTTAATCCTTATTTACAACATGTAACTCTTCAACTGAGTTAACAGAAGCTCCCATTTATTAGAAATTGAATCTTGCAGCCTGTCATGAAAATGAAGTATTCCTTTTGCAGAACATTCCTGAGCTTGCAGCTCCCTCCCATAAATCCCCAAAATAACCCCAAAAACATTATCTTTTAAATACACTCTGGCCAAGTAAAGTTAAACATAAAAAACCCCAGATCTTTATTCTTGGAGGCAGTACAAATAAACCTGTACAATGCAGAAATCACAATCAGGAGCCCAACTGAATTGAATCACAGAGTGAACAAAGCACTCAGGAGCTGCACATCCCTTCAAGCACTACTGACACTCCCCACTTACTTGATTATCAAGTGGAAATCACACTCAGAGAGGCTGATAGCTTTTCTAACTGCACAATTTGACCCCTACTATTTGATTAAAACACAGCACTTAGTGCTCACAGAGGACTACAAGGTCAGCACCAGTTCATAATTACACAGAAGGACTCTGCTGAAAGGAGACTTCTGTGGTTTTGTTCTGCTTTTAAAGGCCAAATGAAACAGGAGGCAAATTGAAAATCCTTTAAAACTTATTTAATTCCTTTTCCTTTTTTTCAGTGAAGCACTCCTGCCCCTCAGAGACTCTGTGAGAGAACTGCCTTCACTACAGCAAAAATGCAGAATGGCTTTAAAAACCCCAAAACTTAGTGTTTTAACCAGTTTAACCCATCCTGCTTAAGCTACTGAGCTTTGTGCTGCACCTCAAAGACTGGCACAGTGTCATTACAGTAAGTGCTTGGAAAAGTTAGAGCTAAAAGGAAAATTACCTACGGATTCTTTCAGCTTCTTCCCTTGTGATTATGGCATCGCTCACACCCCTTCCACACCTCCTAGGAGTGCACCCTGGAACACAAAGAGGAAGAAAAAAAGCCACTGAAACCACTTCAGCCACCTGCAGGGCAGGTTTTTGTATGAGATTTTGCACACAAGTGTCTCGAAGCACACAGCTTGGACAGATTTGATAAAAATAGTCCCTTAAAATTCCTTGCTAAGAAATCCAACATTAAATTTTAAAAGCTCATGGGAATGAAAAGCCAGCAGTTAAGAGTTCCAGGTGAAGAATAAATGAAAGTTCTTAAGGAATTAGAAGTCTGGTCCACAACAGTCTTCAGGCAAGAAGAAATAAGATCAATTCTGAGCCACCAGAGACTTCGGGATGTCACACTTGGCACTTTTCTGGGCAAGATCCACACAGAGATGTAATGCCACAGAAAAGCTGGGCTGAGAGTATTTTCTGCCACCTGCCAATACATGTTCTGCTCCTGCACTGAGTGTCTCTTCACGGATTATTTGCTCCTCAGAACACAAAACTCCTGCAAAGAAATCAATCCATTCACCCATGCAGGTCAAAAGCAGCAGTCTGCTCTGATTAAAAGCAAATAATAAGTATGACCAGGCTGACAGAAGGAGAAGTTTTGCCACAGCACAAGTGCTTTGTAGGAACTTCCACTCCGTCTTACTGGATGTCCCCTGTGGGCTGCAAGGGAAAGCTGCAGGTAGAGAAGAGCCAGGAAAGAGTAAACTCAAAGGATAATTTCAATACTCCAGGACAAACCTGGCTATTGGGAGTTTCCTTTCTACAGCATTCTGCAAAACCTTCTGATTTCAGGAGAGATTTGTGCCATTTCCAGCTGCAAACATCAGCATAGATCTTATCCTTTTGGAAAGGCTGGTGCTGGAGAGTCCAAATTTGGCAAAACTGCAGGGTTACCTCAGACAATTGTTACATGTCTGGGGTCTCTGACAAAGAGATGGCAGGAGGTGTTCTGAAGGCAACTGCATAAGCTTTTCCAAATGGAGAAATTAAAAAAACCAACCAAACAAGAAAAATACAGTCCAGCATAAAGTCGGCCAGGTACCAAGAGTAAGGTACAAACAGTGGGTGAATAGTAAGGCAAAATCAGAACAGTCTGTTTGAAAACAATTTCAGCAGCCAGAAATGTGTCATCTTTGTCTCAGAGACCATGGCACATGGGAGCAATGAAGTGTTAAAAGCAATCCCAGAGAACCTGCACTCAGGAGAAATTCAGATTAGTATCACAAGTCCCCAGTAGCCTCCACAAGTTTATGCCCAGTAGACACAAAATCATCCATTTATCCAATAAGGCACCGTCAGCTTTGGGTATCAGAGATGTATTTCTTCAATCAAGGTAAAGGAGGAACATACCAAAACATGTAAAACACAAGTAGTGCTTCTGGCCCCTGCACAGAAACCACAATGTAACACAGGGCTTCAAGTGCCCAAACTGCAGCTTCATCTCCTACTAAGTGGTATTTGGCCAAGAACTGCTAAGACAGACATAATTCCCATGAGAAAAAAGACTCCATCAAGATGCTCCCCTAATGCACAGAACCCATGGTCTGGGTTGGAAGGGATTTAAAGATCATTTAGTTCCACCCTCCCTGCCATGGGAACAATCCATCTCAAAGCAGGACAAGAGCAGGCAAAGCTTTATTGGCTGCCATCCCTGTAACAGTCTCAGTGTCAGACCTTTTCCTCCACTTTCCTCACAGGCTTCTCTGCTTTCCACATCCACTGACCTCATCTCTGGTAAAGCATCTTAATACTGTCTCCCACACAGGAGTTTCATCAGACACACCAGTAGCCACAGTAGTTTTAAGTAGTTAACCATGTCTCAAGGCAGCAGAAATGGCCAAGATCTGGCCACAGCATCCAGAATGTAGATGAGACTCTGCTCACACAAGACCCTTCCTTCTGCAAATACAATAATTTAAGTGCTTGGCCTCTGAGAAATAGCACATTTCATTTTGTATGGAGCATGTTTACAGGCAGGCAGTGCTATGGAAATAAAACCTGCTCTGCCACCAGCTACCACATCATTTGAAGCAAACTGGAAGCTCAGTTGCACCAGTTCAGTTGGAAGCAGGGGGCAGGTGCATAAATAAAAAGCTCATCTTAGCTGTGGAAACTTCCCAGCTGAGCATCAGACACCAAGTGATGAGAGGAATGTGCCTCCTCCTGACACAGAGCCCGCAGCTGTGGGGGTCAGGCCAGAGGGAAGGCTGGGAATGAGGAGCTATTGAGTGACAGAAACCTGTTTCCAAAGTGGCCAAAGCTCCAGAGCTGGATCCAGTTTGGCAATGACCACAACTGGCATTTCGTGCCTTGCTCCGCTGTCGGTAACACACCGAGCTCGGCGCTGTCACAGCTCATCATCCCCCTCGCGTGGGGAAAAAGCCAAGTGCAGGGTTCGTTAGCACAGCAGGCTTTCAATTAACCAATTAACAGCTGCTCCCGCGTTTCCAACACTGCTGATCTCCTTCTGAACGCACAGGGCAACACGCGTAAAACATCTACTAAAAACGCAAATCAATCCCGTACACTGAGAAACAGCGGCAAGAAAACATCTAGTCAGAAAATCAAAATACAAACACAAGGTGCCTCCCCTTTGTCCCTCCTGGGTTGATCAGCAAGTCAATCGTCCTCATAAAGCCAAGAGGTCACACCTCACCCTGCAATCAGCACTTGCTGCTGCTCCTCGGGACATCCCCAAGAATGGAGAACGCATTCATTCCTATCCCTGAAGTTCCTGCCTTCCTTAAGATAGAAAGAATAACTGATGGGGTGGCCAAGACCACAAGTCCATAGCTCAGAGAATTCCTCTTGCAAACCAGGGAAGGGAAAGATAAGAGCTGTGTTGGTTTTGGGGGTTTCTTTTGATAAGCAAAAGCCCCAGTAAGAGAACACAGAGAGTTTTAGCCATAAGCAAATCTGTGGCAACACCAGCTGCAGTTTTCTCTAGCCTTGCACTATGAAATATAGTCAGCAGCAGTTTCTCCTCATAGTAACTATGCCAAATTAACACAGAACATGTGTTTTCAGGTGCTCTATCAAAAAAAATCCCCCCAATAAGGAAGGTTCCTTGCCGGTGGCTTCTTGACAGCTCTTCATCAGAGAAGATGAAAATCTTCCATTTTTCTTGAAGAACCCATATCAACCCTCCAAAGAAATAAGTGCCAAGGAAAACAAATCCCAATTTGACAAAAAACCAGGCTCAGCTGCAGGACATAAAGGCAGAGAAGTGCTCTGTAGGCAGCAGCAAAAGGTATCAGCACGTGCACATCTCAAAACAAGCGTGTCACAAACTGGTACCCGTGAAATTACCACATGGTGGTGACAGACAATGCCCTAAACCAGTTCCATTCCATACCCTGTACGGTATCGACCAGCAACAAACTCACTCCCAAAGCCTACTTCAGGAATCAACAGAGTATGAAAAGAAATCGGAAGCAGGCTCAGCGAAAGGTTTATTTCACAGAGGCCAAGCAAAGCAGCGTCAGAAGAGAATTACACAGGAATGACAGAGTAACCTCTCGGAACAACTTCTGGGCTGGCCCAAGGGGCACGAACGTTTGGGGCTTTAAACAACACTCAGTGACCAGGAGTTTGCTGGAAACACAGGAGTTTTGCAGCACAGGTTTGGTTTTGTGATAAATAAATAATTGTGATTCGTGAAACAAATGGGTGATTATATCAAAATAAAACAAACAGATTGTAAAACTTAATTACACCCCCATAAAGAAATAAAACAGACCCTCACAAGGTCAAGAGGCCTAAACCCTCCTTACTATCCTAAGAATAAAATATAGTAGAACTTTAAATCTTTAGGTGCCTGTTCGTCCAAGGATGCATGAATTATGACTGGTTGTAGAGATAACCCTTTAGCTTTAGCTGTAAGAAAACCCATCTATTAAATACTTAGCAAAAGCCTGTAGAATGTATATGTATATGATATAATTAATATGCATGAAGTAGCTCAGATAAATACTAAATGTACCCTGTAGTAGGGGTGTGCAGATTTGGGAAACTGGTCCCATTTCTGTCACCCAGCCGGCTGCTTGCTTTTTCCATATAATAAACTATTATTCGAAACTTATAGAAACTCGAGACTTTGTTTATCACAGTTTCACAGACTCGGCTGTTATGGCCCTCTGAACAGTCACCCCACGTGGTTCAAGCCTGCCCAAATACCTTCAAACCGTCTGTGGCTGTCGTAGTCCTCCGAGCAGGGGATCTCCACGAACTTGTCCCGCAGGCTGTCGCTGCGATGTGCCAGCACCTCGGTGACCCCGTCCTGGAGGATCCCATCCCCGGAGATCCCATCCTGGGCGAGCAGGCGGCTCCAGAGCACGAGGCCGCCGACGGCCGCGGTGCAGAGGAGGAGCAGGATCGCTGCCTTCGCCCGCCATCCCCGCGGATCCTGCCGGGACCGGCCCTTCCTGGCGCTGCGGGGGGAGCACAGCAGGGCCCGTGAGCGACGGACGGGCCGAGCGGGACCGGCCGATACCGGGGAGCCCCGCCCGGCCTTGGTTTTGAGCATAAACACACACAAACAGACACATATATTTACAAACATCCGCGATCCCACCCCGCCTCCCACCGCAGCTCCCCCGCAGCCGCGGTCCCACCGCCGGGCCTGGGCACTGCTGCCCCCGGGGCAGCGGGCGGGAGGTGCGGCCCAAGGCCCCCCTGTGCCGGTACCTGCTGTGCCGGCGGCCCCCGCGGCCCGTCCCTGTTCCCGTCGCCGGTCCCGGCCCGGTCCCGGCGCTCTCGGGGCCGCGGGGCAGCGCCCGGCGCTGCGGGGCCATCGCGCCTCTTCCGCGGCGAGCGATGCGCTCGGCGCGCTTCGCCCTGGCCTGGCCTGGCCTGCCTGGGGAGCGCGCTCGGCCGGGCGGCAGGATCCGGCCCAGGGCCGGGGGCGGCGGAGGGGCAGCGGAGGGGCGGCGGAAGGACAGCGGGAAACCGGGACAGCGGGACACGGGGACAGCGGGACGCGGCCTGGCAGCGCCGGGACAGCGGGGCCGGGGCGGCGGGACGCGGGCCGGCAGTGTGTGCGGGGCACGGCGGCGGCAGCCCAAAGCAATCGAGGCCGGAGCATGCGGCGGCGCCTGGTGCACCTGGACCTGAAGGGCGCCGCGCCCCGCGCGCCGTACCTGGAACAGGTGAGGGAGGGACCTGGGGCAGGTGCCGGATTTACCAGGCACAGGTGAGGAATACGCCTGGCGCAGGTAAGGGGTGTACCTGGGGCAGGTGGGGAACATACTTGGCACAGGTGAGGAGGGGACGGGGACAACAGGACTCATCCCGGCCCGGCCGCTCCCCCGCTGTCCCCTCCCTCCCGCAGGTGCTTCCGCTGTTCCGTGCCCTCGGTGCCACCGGGCTGCTGCTGGAATATGAGGACACCTTCCCGTATACGGGGCCGCTGGAGCCGCTGCGGGCACCGCACGCCTACAGGTACAGCCACGTACCCACAGGTACTGCCATGTACCCACAGGTACCACCTGCCTGGTACCCCCGGTGCCCTGGGGCACTGACGTGTCTCTCCCCAGCCCCGCGGAGCTCCGGGCTGTGCTGAGCCGGGCGCGGGCGCAGGGCCTGGACGTGGTGCCGCTGGTGCAGAGCTTCGGGCACATGGAGGTGAGCGGGGCAGGGCTGGGATGGGGGAGCAGGGGGGGTGTGCTGAGCCGGCACTGCCTGGGGGGCGAGGAGGACAGTGGGATCCTGGGGTGCGTTAGGGAGCATTGCCAGCAGGTCAGGGAGTGATCCTGCCCCCTCTGCTCAGCCCTGGGAGGCACATCGGCAGTGCTGTGTCCAGTGCTGGGATCCTCGGGATAAGAGAAACACGGAGCAGCTGGAGCAGGTCCAGGGGAGGCTGCAGAGATGCTGAAGGGATGGAGCATGTCTGTGACAAGGGAAGGCTGAGGGAGCTGGGGCTGTTCAGCCTCCAGAGGAGACACTGAGAGGAGACCTCCGCAGTGTGTGTCAGGGTCTGCAAGGAGGGGGCAGAGCATGGACCAGGCTCTGCTCGGGGGGCCCAGCAATGGGACAAGAGGAGTGGGCAGGAAACAATGCCCAGGAAGCTGCACCTGAACACGGGGAAGAACTTCCCTGTGCAGTGACCCAGCACTGAACAGATTGACCAGAGAGGGTGTGGAGTCTCCCTCACTGGAGATATTCAAAAACCATCTGGACACAATCCTGTGCCGTGTGCTCTGGGATGACCCTGCTCGAGTAGGGAGGTGGGACCAGATGACCCACTGTGGTCCCTTCCAGCTATGATGTGATTCTGTGTTGGGAAATTTCTGATGTAAATCCTGATGTTCCCATTACCCAGCTGTGCCAGCTGCAGGATTTGGCATCAGGGTCACACTGCACCATTTCCTTCACCCAGAGACCCCCCAGCACCATGAGGCACAGCCGTGTCCCCCCAGCCTGTCCCTGGTGTTCATTCACAGGCACACCCAGTTTTAGCAGGACCTGGTGACAGGGGACACTGCTGTGCCCTCGTTCTGTGGCTGCTCCCCAGGCTCTCCTTTCCCTTGCAGTTTGTGCTGAAGCACAGGGAGTTCGCTCATCTGCGGGAGGTGCCGGCGCTGCCCAACGCCCTGAACCCGCACAAGGAGGAGTCTCTGGCGCTGGTCAAGGCCATGATTGACCAGGTCATGGCCCTGCACGAGGGCCTGGAATGGTTCCACATCGGATGTGATGAGGTGGGACTTCTCTTGAGCCTGGAATGTTTTTCCTTTGAGGAGGATGGTAAGGGCTGAGACCCTGTATGGGCCATTTACTTAAGAGCTGGACTCGATGATCCTCATGAGTCCCTTCCAACTCAGAATATTCTGTGATTCTGTGACTCTGCATTTCAGTTTGGGTGGGATTTTGGGGACAGAAAACACAGCTCAAGCCAGTGTAGAAAAGTCTTTTTGACACTAAATAATTCCAGAAGCACAGGATGCCATTTCTATTGGTCTGAGTGTAATATCAAAGTATTGAAAGCAGCTTCTTAAATCTAACTCAGCACTTGGGTTTAGGTCAAATGAGTATTTAAAGTGAGATTAAAGTGAGATTATCCATTGGAGCTGTTCATTACAAATTATATGAGTTACTCAAAATAAGCCTTTTTGTGGTGGGAAATGGTGTTATTTTTTGTCTTGGGAGTTTTTATAAAGCAAAATGCTATTTAGGTAGAATAAATGTGTTGTGGGTAAAACCTGCTCTAAACCAACAAAGAGTTTAAATGCATATCCAGCTTAACAGGCCTGAATCCACTCTCTGCATGGACCAAGTATGGGGGGCTGCACTTGGACATGCCCCCAAGTTGCTTTTAGACTCATACAGATGATCTCCTTCCCTGAGACAGGAACCTCGTTTTATATAACTCAGGACCTGATGTATTGCCAGATTTAAAGGTAATAAATGTGGTGAGAGCTGCTCCTAAGAACAAACCTTCCAAAGGCAAATACAGCATTTAAATATTTTAGTTTCTATAGGAAAATTCCCTTAGGATCACACGTAGTCATGGCCACAGTCTCCTGCAGACTGATAGAAATGCTTGCAGTGTCTTCAGCACTGAGAGGTGCTTTTGAATATGTCCCTCAGGGTGTCCCATCTGGGCAAAAGGTTTGGAATATTGTATGACTTAATGATACTGTGTCAAACTCATTTTCTTTTTCTGTATAAGCAGTCAGGATTCTTTGCCTGATGTTTCAGGTCTACTACCTCGGTGAAGGAGAGGAGTCAAAGCAGTGGCTGCAGCAGCCAGACAACACCCCAGAGAAGCTGTGCTTGGCCCACATAAAGGCAGTTGCCAGTTGTGTGGCCTCATCTTACCCCAGGGTGACTCCCATCGTGTGGGACGACATGCTCAGGGGGATGAGTGAGGAAACACTGGCAGGTGTGTGACCAGGGATGGGCTGAGGCATGTTTTGTGTCATACCAAAAGGTTTATACAACTAGTTAAAACAGACTTGCTGGCACTGAAAATAATGAAAACAAGAAGAGTTGATATATATATATATGTTTGACCAGAGAATAGAAACGCTCAGTCCTTGGCTGTCACAGACTTTCTGTGTGACTGTGGGCCAGTCTGAACACATACACTTAAACAAAATGCTCATCCTGCAGTGGTTGCCATCAATTCTACTTTCTCAACACATTCAAATAAAACAGCCTGTGGTCCAAGTCTAAATCTCTGTGCCTCTCACCACCTTCTAATGTTTGTTGTTGCTCCGTGCAGCACCTGGTCCCAGTGGTGCAAACACACAGAGAAGCTGCAGCCCTGTGAACACCTCTGTGATCATGGTGCCCACCATGAGGACTCAGACACTGAACTGTGGGGTAGCTCCAAGACCTTGACATCATGAGTCTTGTTTGTTGAAAAATATGAAACCACTGCTAAAATTTGAGTAGTCTGAGCACAGATGGAGTTCCAGCATTTTCAGAGCTACCTTACACGTGCTACTGCACCAATAATCTGTACTTAGTTCTCACTTTTACCTGGCTGTTTTCCATTACTTAGGAGAGCTCTGTTCCTTCCAGACTCCGGGGTCCCACAGCTGGTGCAGCCCATGATCTGGGACTATGCAGCCGACCTGGATGTGGAGGGCAAAGGTTTGTGCTTCTCTGCTGAGCTGTGTAGAAGCAAAGAGCTGTTTAAGCAAAATAGCCAAAGCAAGACTGTGTCATTAAAACATACCTTAGTTGGACACCAAGCAATTCTGTTTTTGTTAAATTGCTTTTTGTTGCTTTAATGGCATAAACACAGCTCATTTGATTTCACATAAGAGCTGCTATTATTAATTTTCTTTTACTATTTATGTTTGTCCTGTGAAGGACTTGCATTGTCTGCTGCTTAATTCTTTTCAACACTGATGGGGCATTGAGAGGTTTTTCACAAGCACTGTTACATCAACTCTCCTCACACTGAAACCAGTGGGAGCCAATAGCCCTGTATTGAGCAGCTCTGCAAAAGAAGCTTCAAGGCTTCAGACATCTACAGAATTCAAAGGGAAACTCCAGTCAGGCATTTAACATGCATGAAAATATTTCTTTGTAGGAAGAAGAATCAGCTGTCAGATGTTGTGCAGGCTTGTTACATGCCCAGGGTTCTTTTAGCACTGTAACAATCCAAGGGAATGGAATACAGTTAAGTGGGCACATGAAAACAGGAGGGCAGCCACCAAAAAGGCTCCTCAGAGAAGGTGTCTGATGTCCCATCCTTGGGACCTCAGCAACCTGTTGGAACTGGACCTTGGTTCCTCTTCAGCATTTCAGCCAGGGCTGAAAATGGAGAAGACTCATGCTGTGAGTGTCCCTTTGTGTCTCATTGCAGTGCAGCTCATAGAGAAGTATCGGAGATGTGGCTTCTCCAAGGTGTGGTTTGCAAGTGCCTTTAAAGGAGCCACAGGAGTGAATCAGTCCCTCACACTTATTGGGCACCACCTGAAGAACCACCTGGAGTGGCTGGAAGTGGCCAGCAGGACCCCCCCTGATGTCCTTGAAGGTATCGCCCTGACCGGCTGGCAGAGGTGAGGAACAGCCTTTGAAACGGTTCCAGGGATAACACGGAGGCAAACTTCCACCCCAGAACTCCCTAAGAGGTACAGGGAGGCTGGGGAGTTGGAAGGGAACTTTGCAACCCTGCAGTCCTTCCTGGCAGTCACTGCTGAGCCTCGGAGATCCACTCAGGTGGTACAGCACTTAACCAGCAGGAGCAATTGTTTCGGAGACACCACCACCAGCAGATTGGGTTTGAAAGCTTGAATGTACTTTGTGCCACCTAAACTGCTTATAGAGAACATAGTTCATGCATGGTGGATGTATCTGAATGTCTGATGTGGACTCAAACAGAATGAAGTTGCATAAGAGAGAAGAACTTGTTCATGTAAAGAAGGACTAAAAGGTTTTTATGCAAGTCAGGAGGTCTGAGGGAATACCAGAGAGCTGAATTCCAATTTCTCTCTCTGATTTGCCTTGAGAAAGTAATTTGATTTTTATCTGTTCTTATTAGTAAGACAGAAATACTTTGTTTTTCAGGGATAGAAGGTCCCTTCTCTGAGACAGAAACTGATGTTTCTAAAGCTCTTTAATTTTAATGATTGAAATATTAAAACTTCCCATTTATTTAGTATGTTCTGCCACTAAACTGTCTAATTAATGGATTTTTTTTTACCTAGGTATGATCACTTCTCTGTTTTGTGTGAGCTTCTCCCAGTGGCAATTCCATCCCTGGCTGTGTGTCTGCAGGCACTAAAGAATGGTACAATGACAACTTTATTCTCTCTCAGCTAATGCCTTGCACAAGAGGGAACTGCCCTTGCCCTAAGGTTGGCACAGGCTTATTATATTTTGAGGTGGTTTGACTATCTGCTCGTGGTCTGAATTGTGAACAGTAAATTACAGTTTGCAGTATGGCAGCAGAGAAGCCTCTTGGCCTAAGTATTTAAAAATAGCCATTGGATACTCATCATTCATTATGTTCTAACCCACAAATGATGAAAAACTTCATGTCTATACTAAAAAATAAATTAAAGAAGCTGAATTGCTTTTTAAACTGATTTGAAACAATACTGACATATAAATTAGATTCATTTAGTTTAGATTTAGATCTTGCTTAAGTATAAAAGTTGCATTGACTAATCAATTTTCTTAAAATGGATGTAGGAAGGACACTGCCTGGTAAAATACTTCCTGTAGTTCTGGTTTCTTTACAGGCAGTTGTCAACAGAAAGGGTTTTTTTTTTTGTCTTGCTGCATTTCTTATTTTCAAAATAAAGCCCCACAGGTTACTGATTTTTAACTCAGGCACTACAAATATTCAGCATCCTGAATGGGAGGCTCAGAGCTGGGAAGTGCTTTACCAGAAAACTGTGTGAAAGACCATGTGCTCCACTTCCCACCCACAAGTGTTTTTTCCTTCTTCTAGTCTCATTTTACCTTTTACAAAATCTCCATCCAGGAAGAACTGCTGAGCCAATGCAGAGTACTCCAGAAAAACCCTCTTGTATGACTGGTTTGGTTCCTTAGGTTCCTTTTGCTTATTTCCACTGTCTTCTGCCAGGTGGCTACTCTGAAAAGGTTAAAGAAAATGTGGAAAAGCTCCTGGGAATGTCTAACCTGGAGATTGATACTTACATGAGGTAAAATTCCAGCTGGAGAATTCGGGTGCTTCTCGTTGCGTGGGAAGTTCAGAAACTAATGGATCCTCTTTGTCCAGCACAAGTCTGGGCACCTTTCCTGGGAGCAACATCCTCACCCTTGTGACACAAGTGAGCTTCTACCTCAAGTCATCAGTGGATGAACTTCTCAAAAGGAACAGGTAATGAGGTTTATGTTGATTCCCTGCCTGGCTGCCCCAGTGTCGGAGCTGCATCACCTCCAAGTGGGGCACAATTCCAGCAAAGTGATTTAAATATCAAGCTCTGCATTGCAGGCATCATTGGCACCTCAGCAGAACATAATATTTAGCTGAAAATTTAAAATATTTCAGCAGAATTCCTAAATACTATGTGCTGCCTTATTTCAAGCATCTGGTTCTTTCCTGAGTTACATTTTACTGCTATTTAAAGTTAAAATGAAATTTTTGAATGGTGCAGTTACAAAAAAAGGAGCTCGAAATGAAACTTAAACTGCAGCAGATGATCAGTTTTTATCATCTGCCAAGAACAGTCTTTTACAAGCTAGTTCCAAAGATACACAGACTTATATAAACTTACTCCTTAAGCATTATCTCTGCTAAAGTCTAAAGTCTTATTACCTCCCTGTCATCCTACAAACACAGATGTCACTGCCCTTTCAAACTCTGCTCCTATTAACATCCATTTTCAGGTATGTCACAGGCTGGTTCAGCCCCTACCACAGGAAAAGGAAGATTATTCATCCTATAATAATGCACCTCTTCCAGCCAGATGCAGTCAGGTAACACCTCTTGTTTTGCATCACATGGGAAATAGTCTGTCATATTTTGGGCACTCAATTACAAGTTTTGAGTCCTTGCCTCTTTCTGTAATTATCTCAGAAGCATCAGTGGGAATCAAACAATATCAAGTATTCATAATATGGTTTTAAACAGAAAATGCTGGGGTTGGATTTAGATGATCAAAGTTCCCTTCCAACTCAAACCATTCTATGATTCTAGTTTTATGTTTGCCTGCCTTCTGATGAATAAGATCTTTGAATACAAGTACAAAACTGGTCTCCAAAAACCTCTCCCTTGTCTACTCCTGTGCACCTCACTGCACTGGTTGGCCTTGGTATAGGATTTCACCATGGACCAGCTTCCAGACAGGGATTGGAATAAATCCAGACCCTTTTCCCAGCTCCTTGTCACCATGTGCCATTCAGAACTTGTCCTACACATTTTGCCAGTTCATGCTGATTTTTTTTTTTGCTGTGATAAGGTGAATATCCCAACTGCATCTACTCTTTCTGATAGAACCCAGAATTAAATTCCCAACAAGTCTCACAGCAGGTTTCAGTTACACTTAAAATGTGTATAGTGGTTTTCTGAGCTCACATCTCGGTACTTTAAAAGTCATTGCATGAGAAAAGTGCCAGGATTATTGGTACTTAAACAGAAACAGCATCAACCTTTTGCCATCTGAACAAAATCAAGTCCTTTGGGCTCTTGTAATAGATGCTTCTTTTCCTGTAAAGTCATTTTAAGGACAGCACTCCCTTCCTAAGGCCAGTAAGCCAACCCTCCCCTGAGGCAGAGCTCACCTGCAAATGTCATTGTTCCTCCCTTCTCATTTCTGCTCAGTCTCCTCTCCAAGTGGAATGCTGTGGTGCAAGACCTCCAGGCAGCCATGGAGCAAGTGTTCCACCAGTGTGCTATAGAGGAGTGGATGGAGGAGAACGTCCACCCCAGCCTACAGAAGCTGCAGCAAGTGGTGGATGATTTAGATGAAGCAATAAAAGCACAAAATTAGGGGCACTTCAATTAGTCTGTCTCATTCCATGGGAAAACATGGCTAGTGGAAATCAGCAACTAGTCATTGAGCTGGAGTTTGTCATCTGGAGAGCTGAACTGTGATTAAACAACAGGGACCTGAGGGCAAGAAGGAATTTACTGGTGTAATAGACTTCAAGTCTATTTTAATCTTCCTGTCTTAACACACGCTGAGCCTTAATTCACCTGCCCTGTAAGTCAGGTTTGCTGCCCTTGCATAACAGAATGCAGGAGTCACAACTCTGGAGAAAAACCCAGTTTCTTCCACATTTAGTATTTGTAGCAATAGTTTCTTACTTAACAATACCTGGAAAAGTTCTACAAGTTCTACTCCAGTCAGTGCCCAACATGTCCACCCTTTGCAATTTTTATAAAAAGAAATATTTAGGATACTTACACCAGTCTTTAGGTCCTTTTGTTCTGTCCTGCCACTCCCCCGCGTGTCAGCTGTGCTGTGTCCTGCCATTCCATCACTGGTCCTTCCACAGCAGGGAGCAGTTCCAGATTTTGGGTTGGAGTTTTTCAGTCTTTGAAACACATAAAAGCATGGGGCTTAAATCCTGCTTTGATTAGCCTGAGGTCAGGGGTTAACATCCAGCCTTTTGCAGAGGTCTGAGCAAGGCCCTGTCAGGTGCTGACAGGTGACAGCAGAGGCAGAGGGGACAGGTGCCATCCCAGGCCAGAGCCAGAGGGAGCTCCAGGAATAGTGACCCTTGGACTTGGAGGGAAAACTGCCAAACAAATGTTGGGCTGCTTCACTGCCTGCCAAAGCATCATTTAACCTCAGCTTAGTCTCACTGCCACAGAAAAGCACCATCCTGCTCTCTAAGGCACCTGTTGAGCTCTGTAAAACCTGAAACCAGGTTTGTCCCAGTTTGAGGCATGACTTAAAGTTACTAAATATGAGGGGAAAATGCTGGTTTATTCTGCTTTAATATCAAACTTTTCATATTGTGTGGCAATATATTTTGTGGACGTAACTGGAGCAATAAGAGAAACACCACAGTGGAAATAATTCAGAAGTCTTGTAGTTAAATACATCACCATGAATATTCAAAATATTTACTTGCGCTTCACTTATTCCTTTAAATTTATTTTTTTTTAGAAGCACAGGTATTGAAATTTTCTTGGAACAATCTCTAGATTCAGAAAGGACAAGTACAGCATAAGACAAACTTTAACTTTGTCAGTGAGAGCCTCAGTGATTAGGTCCACATGCAGATTTTATTCTAAAAACAAGCAATTGCTATGCAGACCTTAATTACAAAAGTTACATGCCTTGAACTAAACAAGATCTTATTTTCCTTGAATAAATCCTTTGATACTCAAAAGGATGTTTGTGGAAATGTGCTTCTTTTTTGTGTGTGTGGCATGTTGGTTTGGTTTAAAGGAGGGAAGATGGAAATATGTTCACCAGTGGAGAGCTGGATCCCCATTAACTCCTCCAGCAGGTCCGTGTCAAGTAGTAATTTAGACAGCCATTAATATTTTAATAATTTTAATTAAAAACAATACAAAATACTACAGTGATGCAAAACAAGTTATCAAAGTTGATTTTATCAATGGACTTTTTTTAAAAAAAAGACAGTATAACAAGGCCTTGCTGCAATTCTACTTGCAATTTTACAGTAAAAAAAAAAAAGGCAATTTCTAAACAGTTTCAAGAAGGATTTTTGCCTCTCAGCAATCTATGACAGTGTCAGGACTAGCACTCTTTATTTACTATTAAGCCAGCTGAGTTTTTGGTATCTGTAACTTCATAAATACAGCCCAAGAGTCAGATATCAACTAGACAGTTTAAATACTTTGATTTTCTTGCACAATTGACGCTACTTCACTGTGAAATATCCCAATATTGGATTACACCTTACCTAAAGCAGTGTTCTCCCTCTCTACAGCATGCACTCCATGCACTCTGGCTTTTGTCACTACAGCACAGTTGTGGTAAAGGACATGACAGAAAGGGTTGGGTTTATGGGGCAGGGTGTTAGGTCTAACCTAAGCTCTGGTTTTAAATAATTTCTAAGTCTTATAAAGTACAGCTGTCCAGGCACAAGTCAGTAGATGGCCTGATATGCAAAAATGACAACTACATCTCCTGTAATACTGTCTCAGGAGTACCTAATTTCCTAACAAAACTAGTCTTTCACATCATTCTTTGAGTCCAAGCCACTTCACACCAGGCACACCTTAGGCTACATTTACTTTCAAACTGGGCCTTTCAAACTGCTGGGCCCAGGAGGAGTGAGGAAAACCATCCAAAAAAGCCTCTGGCAAAATGGTAAGAAGTGGCAAAAGAGGAGGATGAGACAGGACTAGTCCAAAGAGGGAAGAACAGCACCTGTCCTGAGTTAGCACCTGCTGTCCTCAACAGTTCTTCAAGCTGCACCACATCACCGAGGAGTGCACAGACACTGCAGAACCAAATCCATGTTTAAGGCCATTTGCAAGTTAAATTTACACACACACAGTTACTGCAAAACATGATAACACAGTGATGTCTTCCAGCTACAAAAGATAAAGTTTTTGAGGACAGGAAGCAAACGTGGACCAAGAGAAACAAGAAGGTCCCAAGTGTATCAGACAGCAGTGCCCAAATACACCAGGCAGAACCCACAGTAAGAGACAATTCCCTCAGTGCTTCCCTTTAGCTCAGACTATGGAATTCAGGTTCCCATTGGAGCTGTACTTGTTTGTACAGTGGCAGAGTTGCCAAATGGAAATGGCACTGGAGGGAATGGCTCAGCTGCTCTGAGAGGCTAAGGAGTCAAAACACCCCTCTCAGACACACAGTGCATGGCAGCTCATCCCTCTCCTGCCACCACTGCAGGACACTGAGGGCTGAGGGGGACACCACACAGCACCTTCAAAGAGGTGATCACTGGACATCAACCCAAAAGGCAACTTACTCCACAGGATGTACTTTAAGCCATGTTGTACCTTATTATAGGTCATTCCCCTTTCTAGGGATTCTCAATTTTCCTTACCTTGTTTCAGTGTTTGTGTGAGACATTGCATAGCCCATAAGGACATCCATGACTGACACCAGGAATGCACAGCAAGCTGGATGCACAAGAGCTCAGCAGAAGCAGGACACAGGATGCAGGGCAGGGTCACACCAGCAGACGTACCTTTCAAAAGCTGATTTTAACTGGAAAACTACAGCATGGTTTACATCTTCCATGGAATGTCAGCTCTCATGGGAATACAAAAGAAACCCAGTATAGCTATGACTGAATGCAGGTAGTTTTTCCTGTTTTATCCATGGTCCACTCTGTGGGCTCAGAATGTAAGTGCAGTGCACACCACAAATGGCCTCTGCATGTCCTTGACACAGAGCAGCAGTTACCACAGGCTGTGCCTACATTGTACCATTAAATACTCTAGGCTTTTTCAGTATTTCTTACTGGAAGTCCTGAGAACACTCATCATTCTCACTTTACACTGTCGGGAAAAAAAGAGTTCTCCAAATCCCCAATGTCATTCTCCTCTCTCTAAAAGGAGCACCACTTGGGGTATAGACCACCATGGATTTAAATGAGGAACTCTCCAAGGTGTTACACCCTGCAACATTTAAACAGGTTTGATAACTATGCTCAACCTACAGCTGTGCTTCAGAATAAAGGCCAAATTCAGCTAATTGCCTAATTTTCCCACGTTCATACACAGCACCTTCCCAGTTGCAGTGATGTGGGGTAGGGACTGAAAACCACATGATTATGCCACCGACTCAGAGGACTTTACAAACATATACTGGCAGAGGTCTGCCTTGGTACCTGATGTGATTACAAGGGTCTTTTCCTATTTAAAGGAAACATCTCCCTGTTGCAGGGAGATGACCTTCACACTGCCAGCACTGAGCCTTTGCCTCACAGCCACATGCCAGGGCTGAGCAGCTGGAAGGCAAATCCCGGTACAACCTGGGTTTGGTCAGAGCAGCAGGTGCTCAGCTCCAGGTCTGTGGAACACACAACAGGACAGGGCTTCTGCTGAAAGCTTTTCAGAGCCTTGTCTCTGTAGAGGTAGAGCAACTTGAAACACAAACACAGGCTCTTAAGTCCTAAAGGAACTGCTGCCAGAAGACATTTGCTGCTGGCCAACCAAAAGCAGACAACAGTTACCTTGTACCCTGTTCACATTTCCTAGAAGTTACTGTGTAAGTATTTTCTAATTCAGGGTCTTAAGACTATAAGATTCCTAAATAAAACCTAGGGAACTTCAGTACAAGCATATTTGAAGGAGCTTTCAGCTCTTTACAATTTTGTTCTTGTACTGACATACTGATGTAGACACCATGGAGTTTTACTTCTAGACAGAATATGTTGACTTAGAGAGGTAGCTTTTACTTCAAAAAATACCTTGAAAAGTTAATATTTTAACTATTTGTGAAATCATTGGTCAGAACAGAGGACACCACACACCTGGAGTAAAACATGGTACAAGTCAAACGTGGAATCTACCCCAGCTATCTTAAAAAAAATTATTATTTAGCACTTCGGTATTTCAAGTGAGGAAATACTGAACAACTCTAGGCTACCATGTTGTTTGACATCAGACTTTTCCCTGCCTAAAGTAACAGATGTCCTTGCTTCCTTTCTAAACACACAGTTAAAATAGTAAACATTGAGGTCTAGGAAAAAGTTATTCTGTCCTGGGGCAGTCTGTGCCCAGAAGTGAAGCAGAACAGGGTTAATCTAGAACATCCCAAAGACATTGAATCATCAGCAAGATCATTCTTCCCTTTGCTATTCATGGCTCCTCAGCCAGTCCAAGGGAAGTTAAAACCATGTTACAAGTTAAACAACCTGGTGTTCCGAATTCCAAGACAGGTACTCAGACTTAAATTTCCATGGGTATCCAATGGCAAGTCAGTAGTAGAGAATATAAAAGTGCCACTACTCTGCATCACCTAATTGCATATATTAAGCTGCTTAAAATGGATTTAGCAATATATTCAGTCATAACATTTCAAGACAAACCTCAAAACGTTGCGTCAGGAGTTACAAATTCAACTCTCCTACACCTCATGTACTGTACCTGCAGCAGATGTTTGCAGTAAGAGGCTGTTTACGTCTGCACCTCCACTTCACTAATGGGAAAGCAATTATTTCATACCAATCCATCAATAAATAA